TTGTCGCGATTTCTGGGATCACATTGGCTGCGCGAAAACCAACGTTTTAGCTTCATCATGGACGTAAGTTCTGTATGTATGTTGAAAGTTGTCATAAAGTTGTGATTGTCAATAAAAGCAATTCCTTCTTAGCTCAGTTGGTAGAGCGCGTCACTAGTATTTGGTTCAATGACGAGGTCAGTCGTTCAAGTCGGCTAGAAGGAATATCAAATTTGGCACATGACCCTCTTTTTGACTGATTCAACAAGCCGCATCTACTTACATACTTCTCACATTCCAGCCCTAGACGACAGCAAAGAGTGCTACTATACATATGCTCCGCTCCTCAACATATAGAGATTCTATCAAAGCAGTAGTCACAAACAGTCTGAAAACAATAAGGCAAGGCTGAGTAAATGACAATTTAGTTGCTAAGTGCATATGGATGACTGAAAATAATGACATGACCTAGACTTACAGCAACATGTGTTATATATTTTGGTGTAAACCTATAGCTTGTCCTTTACATCGCGGCCCTACCTGCTGTCTAGATTGCGGCAATCGACAAATAATTGATACAGACTAAAAATATAGCGACGTACCTCGATAGGCAGGAATACCATTAACACAGCGGCAACCATGAACAATGTTGCAGCGACAAAGATGGAACTGAGGAGCAAGCGAAAACGCACAATGTGATTATTGGTAACAAAAAGATCCTGCACGAGGACAGACCTATTGGGTGATGATCCAGCTGCAGCGGCACCGGAAGCGGTTGTAGTGGTTATTTTTATGACAGGGGAGAGGATACCCATCATTCTATTGAAGCTACTCGTAAGCGCATCACCAGTACCCCGATGTGGGGCGGGAAAGACCTAGATATTGTATATCAATTTAGAGGAGGAACAGTGCGAGCTGACTACAAACTTCCGGGGTGTATGCAAAGAGGACACCATACATCTGATCGAACAGTGAGCCAAAATCGTAACGAAAGGCGAAGACTGGGGCTTACAGCATTTCTTGAGACGAGAGAGTGCGTCAGTATGACATTATAATTCCAGCCCATGATGAACTCACTGTGTGGCACTTGACGCGCATGACCACGCAAGGACATCGTTGTCAGTGTTGCTCGTCGTAAAAAGGAACAGGAAAAGCCCAGTTAGCCCGGTCGAGACTGCCATGGTCAGTTTCCTGCCGCTGATAGCCCACCTGCTTTTTGAACCACGAGTCCAGTCGACAACAAAGCAGGCTATAAGAGACCCAGGAATTCCCATGACAGAGATGATGGTATAGTTACGGAAGGTTGTGTTGATACTACTTGAGCCCGCGGAGCTTGAGATGTGCTGCTGAATGTAGAGGGGCAGAAAGCTGTTAAAAAGAGGATATGCTAGTCCAATGAGCCCTATGAACTTCATGAGTAAATGTTTCAATCTTTGAGATGAAGTACGGACCCCAACAAATAATAATTAACGTGCTGTTGACCGCAAGCTTGCGGCCAGAGAACAAGGGTCTGACATGCGATCTATGACCCAAAGTCAAATCAAGGCGGCATCGAGTTGAAAACAGGAAAGGCATACAGCGAGATGGTCGAAAATGCGTCCTTCACCACCTCGAATTGAGACCTGGGAACATACTCCGCAACACCCTCAACAGCCGAAAAATGTTCCAGAGTAAGGCTGATTGTCTTGCCGTTGCGTTTTGCAATATGTTGGAGAACCTTTGATGTTAATTTTTAGCAGGAGGCAAACCTCCATTAACAACAGGACCGACGGCAATGGCTTCTCGATCTCGACCCTTTGCCACAAGGTACTTGGGTGACTCTTGGAGATCGAAGACGACGAAGCGCATGATGAACATGAGGAAAGTCATGCAACCGCTAAGATAATATCCCAATCGCTCATATGCATATTCGGACTGACAGAATACTTACAAGGTGTAACTTTGTAAATGAAGGTTCGGATCAATACCAGTGATCCTAGTTGACTAAGAATCAAACTTACTAGGTGTATCTCCAGCCCATGTTTTCGTCCTTAAAACACACAGTAGCTGTTGCATCACAGGAGAAGTTGGCGAGAAAGCCCCACGCGATCAACGATGCAACGAGTTGGCCAATAGCCCACCATACAGAAAGAAGAGTCAGCGTCCACTGGTAAATTTTCTGTCAGTGTGCAATTTCATGAGAATTATAATTAACTGACTTGATGCTTTTGAGGGATGTATTCAAGATATAGTGCACCTATGAAGTCAGTGTGAAAAATCGAAATGTCGGATAAATCACGTCTTACCGTCTACAGGCAAACTATAACAAAAAGGGAAGAAATTTGATGAGATAAAGATAGAAAGGAAGAAAAAGATGACATACTTGCCACCAAGCCCGAAACCAAGGCACGCTTCCAAGGATGCGAAGGTGACGAAGTTAGGTGCACCACCAGCTGCAATTCCGAACAGACCAGCCAGAAAAAGTGTGATCTAAAAACATGTGTGAGTGGAATGAGAATCAAAGGGTTATCATTATGAATGACATTGAAAGACAGCCTTCGTCCTATCAAGTCCGCCATGATACCCCATGTCATCGCACCGAGAATAAGCCCAGCAAAGAGTGCGAGCGTCGCAAACTCCACACGTGAAGGACGCAGCTCCTGCTGCACTTGACCTAACACAATTGCGATACCCTGAAGCCAGATATCTGACGAATGATCTTAAACAAGATAGCTGTATGGCACGTGGAACAGAACTTACTATCTGCCATCCACCCTAGCCCTGTCAGGACGAACAGTTGCTGCTGATACCTTCCATATCCGATCCTTTGTGACGTCAAAAACGGTACATGAGGAGATGGTTGTGATGAGGGTGTCCAATGCTTACTCTTCCTGCAAGCATTTGTTGACTTTGGATAAGGAGAATGAGTACAATTTCGGTGACACAAGCATAGTGACATACTGAGATCACATTTGAGGCCATAGACACGGCTATAGCCCTTGTGCGAGTAGGACACGTCTTCCTGGGATTCTGTGTCCGTTACCTTGAACTCTGCAGAGTTCATTCTCGTCTCTGTGTAGATCAAGGATTGTCTGATGTTGCTTTAAAAGCCCATGGCCGTGTAATCGTTCTCGAGTGCCGGAGCCATGAGATCAGGAACCATTCATTTGCATGTATTCGGGAGCCAAGGAGTCGGTTGTCAATCGGACCGCGCGAAAAAACTGAAAGGACGATTTTCTTGTCACCTTTACGGCCGCAAGGTAGTCACGTTTGGGTACGGTGACAAGATAGATTCGATGTGCAGAGGCCACTCAAGGACGAACAGAATGTTTTTCGTGTTTTGTGAATACTACTGTTTCCAGGTCTACGTCACTTGCACAACAATGGGGAAAAAAATTCAAGGTTCGTTACCGTGAGTTTTCTATGTATATACATAGATCGTCGAGTTTTGCGATTTGACCGGTGATCCTCGAAGCTAGACATACATATGGCCTATTTTTTTTAGCAGAATACACGATGGGTCGATGCGATTCTCCGAACTAAGAGGTAGGAGCACTGGGCGCATGGAAAACGTGTTCCCATGACACTACAGCCGTCAATTATCACTGCGCAAGCCGAGATCGACTGGATGCTGCGGGCCGCTGAACGCACATAGTATTCGGTCCCCGTCAGGTCTCTTGATTATCAACGAGACCTCTCTCCGAAAAAGATCACTAAATAAAGCAAATAATTCTCTACAGGTTTCATCAGGCTTCTCAGGTTTCGGGTCTGGCACGGATTCCCTGAAGAGTTCAGATTATAACTCTAGCTATTTCGGGACAGCCATTCTGCAAACAAGGATTCTTACCACAGATATTGTGTGCGTAGGAGCTGATGCCGAAGGTAGCATGATGGGATGAAAAAATGGAAGAGGAACTGCCCGGGTCGAGACGGCCGCCGCCTTGACGTGGCAAATATAAAAATGAATTTTCACAAAAATATCTTTCCTGTGCGAATATTATAACTTTCACATTTCCTGAAGCATGGACTGTATGAAGGTCGACCGTCCAAATTATTTAGATGTTGCAAAGCGGACAAGGATCATTGATAGATGGGAAGCATGATGTCTCTTTCCGTTGTTGTTGATCCCTGGCTGATGCTGGCACTACTGGTAAGGCGAGTGCTTATAGACAATCACTAGATAATAGGGGCTTGACAAGACGATGAGATAACAGGCAGTTTGTATCAAGGATTACGACAAGCAGAGATTCGCGCTGGCGCTGAGGGACCAGACTGAGAGAGCTGTTGAATCACACACGTGACGTCTTATGAGAAGGAGTCTCATAATTGACACACTTTAAACTTCTTGTGGGTTTGGAAACGCTAGCTATAGACGAAAGGCCAACTCGCGGAAACCTCCGTTTGAGAAACTTTCTGATTCTTGATGAAGGGCTTTGTTTATCTCAAGAACAAGCCGAGACTACTCCCTACTATCGTATATCCAGAGTTTGACCACTCGCATGGATATTCCTGAAGAGCTCATTGATCTTATATTGGGACACACTAGTTCAAACCGGAATACTCTTCTAAATTGTACCTTGGTAAACCGTTCCTGGACACATGTTGCCCGCGCACACCTCCTTCAGAAGCTCTCTCTCCGCTTCTCATTGCATCATACATTCTCAAATTTGACTGCTCTCGCTGAGTGCATTCATACCGACCCCTCCCTAGCACAGCGTGTGTCTATCCTCGAAATTAGACAGGCCCAGACGAATGTAGACATCTACACTACAACAGACGCAGCCTCCGACCAACATCTCCTCGTGGTTTCTCTGCTCGCACAAATGACTTGCGTTCGAGAATTAAGACTCGTTGCAATAGATTGGGCAGCTCTGCCTCAGACAATTTCTTCTGCCGTATTGACACTCCTCTCCGGCGATATGATTTCTAAGTTACATTTCGAGTTTTTCAAAATATCCTCTACCTCTGAACTTGCACGCCTCATTTCCTCCCCACAATCTCTACAAAGCCTTTGCCTAGTGCAGGTATATCCTTTGCAATCTTCGAACAATGCCGTGGGTGCGCCGATGGGCCAAAAAGGTGGAGCAATCCTGAAATCGCTCAAACTGGGCACAATATTGAATTTTAATATCCTTGACGCTCTTTTTTGCATGGAGAACAGGCTGGATTTATCTTCACTTCGGAAACTCTGCTTAGCCGTGAACTATCCACCAGCTCTCAAGAAGCTCATGAGCGTCGTAGGTCCG